GGGAAGCGTTCCCTTTAGTTCTTTCTGGGTTTTCTGCCGAAGTTAGGTGTTTATCTAGCGCGACTTTTTCTGGCATATATTCTATGTTAAACGGTTTTGGGGTTCGTTAATTATCTATTCTTCATTTTATGTTACTTTTTTCGACTTTATTGTGAGATGTCTTCATGGAGGGGATGACTCTTCTGAGCATGTTAAGGTTCCTCCAATACTGGGCGCTCCCTAGCGCGTGTCAACTTCTCTCAAAGCGAAGCCTTGACGTTGCGCACTTCGTTTGAGAAGCTGTGCACAGCATTCTCTGCCTGTGCGGCTCTGTGGTTTCCCTCCATGTCCGTCTGCTCTATCTCGGACTTTGTCTACCCTGCGATTCAATTGACACATCAGACACGACAGAATTAGAGCAGACCTCTTTTTTTGTATTGTGGAGATGAGCTTTGCTTATTCCGAACATTTTGGTTTGAAAAGATTGACCGTATCGCGGTCGAAATTGCGCTGCCTTTTTTTTAGCCTGTCGTTGTCTGATTCTTCCAGTGGTGTGAGTGAATTCCCTTAATGCTGCATTTGATCATATCTTCTCGGTTGTACTTCTGGGCTCTGGACTACAATTATACTTAATTCTTATATGTACACACATGACAGCTGGCTATATTAGGAATTATTATATATTATATATATATTTATTTATTTATTAATTTGTATATTAATTTATATTATATTTATATAATTTATTATAGAATATTTAATAATACAGCAACATTCATTCACCTTCCAGTTGTTGGACTCGGCCATTTCTGCCTTCATTCCCAACATCTGGCCTCGCTGGTCGATTGTCTGTTTCCTCATCTTCTCCACTTCCTTCTGCAGGCGTCTGTTACGAGCCTCAATGTCATCACGGTCCCTGTCCAAGGTCACGCGACTTGTGCTACTCTCTTCTAGTTTGCTCACTTTCTTTCTCAGCATCTCTAGTTGAAGGTCCTTGCTCTCCAACTGCTGTTTAAGGCCCTTCAACTGCGCACAAGTAAATATAAAGAGTAGTGTAACAATGATGCATTGTGGTGGATAGATAATCTATTGATGAAATCACATAATCACATAGATGAAGCGCGATGAGCAGGCGATCATTTTATAATTATATTACTCACCAGCTATGTAATTCTACGATGTGTTATTTCATATATAAAATTCTGACACGCGTATTTAACTATCTACTAGCCGTCCTTTTAATAATAATCCAGCACCTTTCTCTGCAAACTGTAGAGTTGTGTGGACTTGTTTGACACGGTATCGCCTTCTGCTTTAACAAGCTGATCAGCTCTAGTTAGTAGTGCATTGCCATCGATGTCCAATTCTCCAATGAACTGATCCATACCAATCACATCGGCCAGCTTTTTAAGGAAGGCACGGTACTGAAATTTATAACTTATTTTGTTAGTCACAAA